GGTATTGTCTTTTATAAAAAATCTTTGCTAATCAAGTGTATTGACTAAAAATACTATTATTACAATAATTACCTCAAAATAAATAAATAAATATGAGAGATGGAGTGGATAAGGGTGTTATAGTTAAATCTAAAATAAAAGTCAAACAAGATTTTATATTAAAGACTAAAAGTATTATTAATTTCTTTAGAAGCAGTTGTGTTTTTAAAGTATTAATTCATGAGTAGTTTTAATTTTATCATTAACTCAAGGTTCGATAAATCAATGCATATCAAATAATATAAAGTATTTTTTTAGCATATTTTAGGTTGCTTGATGCATTTGAAAAAATATTTTAGAGTGTTGATGCACCACAAAATACTTCTAGGCAAGGGATGCACCTAAAATATTTTTTCAAGATGTTGGGTGCATTGAATATTTTAAAATGCTGAATGTATCTAGCAAAATATTTTAGAATGCTGGATGCACCTTAGTCCTAATAACTATATTAAAAATTCAAATTTCTTTTTTAAAAATATTATCCATAAATAAAATTTTGATAAATGTTTTAAACAATAGGTTGTCTTTTTTTCCCCTTAAATAGGAGAAATCATTTGAGTAGGACCTCGCGACTGATTAACTAGTTGGTGAGGCAATAACTTAATAACCCTAAACGACTAGGTGATCAATTCATGCATATGAATATCGAAGGATCATGCAAACGAGTGGATATGATGATTTAAATTGACCATATTTGACTTGAGATGTTATGTTTAATATAGTTTCATATCTAAATTAATTTGTATTTATATAATTATTTGTGTTTATTATTACTGCACTTGTCTTAATAACCATTTAATTAAAAGTAGGATTGTTCACGAGATGGAATAGGATAGGAACAAGACAAGTATGCCCGGTCCCATCCTAATGAACATGGACTCCCTTCTTTTTTTGTGTTATAATATTTGTTTTTCATAGGGCTTCTAAAAATAAAAATATTATAAAAAATATTATGTAAAAAGCTCAATTAAATAATATAAAAAAGGTACAAAAACAATACAGCAAAAAATATCGTAAAAAAACACTGTATAATGACTTTATAAATTATTTTATTGAGGAAAAAGGTTCTGTTGAGATAATACTACAACTTAAGAGATGAAAATTACTATGAAAAATAAGTATTATCAATAAGTAAATTGGATAATCTAATAATAATTATTAGTAAATAATTTTGTTAAAAAAAATCCAAACACAGGATGATCCCACCTCACGTTCCATCCTGAAACTTTTTTGGTCCCATCCTATCCCATCTCGAATTGATTGAGGCCGAGACGAGACGACCGAGACATGATAAGTTGAACACTTCTAATTAAGGTAGAGTTAAACTTTTTAGGAAGCACAAGGAGTTTTTTTTTTTTTTTTAGTTAGTTTGCCTCACACTCCTCTCATAACTAAAAAAAAACAGTAATTTGCCAAGTAATGAATGAGCTATATATGTGCTTGTGGAATTGGAAAGAATTGAAACATTATATTTTTGAGCAGTGTAGGAAATTTTTGAACTAATTCTGTGAAATTGAAACTCAAATAAGGATATAACTTTATTTGTCCTAAGGTCATAAAATCATAATATATCTATATATAATGATTTAACAGAAGCTCTTATTCATTTCTAAAGAAAATATTATAAGAGTCAACCTCTGGTTAAATTGGTAAAAGAAATTAAAGAGCTTACTAAGCTAGAAAGAAGGGAAAGAGGTTGAAACTCAGCTCAAATTTTGATGAACTAAACATTGTTTTAGCCTTTTCTTGCAAATTATTTTTTTTGAACTTTTATATGATTTTTTTTCCTTTTTCTCTCATACACTAAACTCTAACTAAAGTATGAAATCACTCACACCTTTTGGTTTACTAATCTAAAATTAGTATGTCCACTATTCGTTTTTAAAAAATCAATTTGATAAACCCAAGTATATGTGAGACTTCACAATCTATACAACTCAAAATCAGGTTTTCTTATCTTACAATATGTTAGAGATGTGATCAAGGAACAAAAAACTGGACCGGTAATTAAATCGGTCAAGATACTGAGTTAAAAGTTAATGGGTTAGATCAGGGTCAACCCCATAATCAAATCGGTAATAATTAAAATGCTATGTTTTAAATTATATATTAACTGCTTTAAATAGAAATTAAAATAAAGATATGAAGAAAAATATATAAAATAAAAGATATATTAAGAAATTATATATATAGTAAATAATATGATAGAAGTACTCATTAGTCCATCTATTCCTGTAGGATAATTTTGCGTGGGAAACTTGAACCTCATGGAAATCTAATTTTTTATTCAACCCTTTCAATTTTAAGTTTTCACATTCTCAAGATCTGCTTCTCCGGTTGAACCACTTCACATTTTTTATCATTTCCTTTCATCATTCATTCTTTTCATATCTTGTGTGGGATGGATCAGGCATTCACGTGTTCTGGTAGCTTTCTCTCTTATTCTCCTTCTTCTCTCTATTTCAGTATTTCTTTCTTCTTCGTTCAGACGTTCCCCTCTTCTTTCTTTCGTTTTCATGCCTTTATCCTCCCTTACCTCCGTTCAGATGTGCTCACAGAGCCAGAAGGGTGAGAATAACTTTTATTTTTATTTACAGAACGAACATGTAGAACCAAAGGAACTGAAGAAAACAATTACTTTTCTTTTATTTATGTTTTTCTTCTTCTTCAGCCAATATTTTTTGTTTATGTGCGGGAAACAGTCTCAGGTTTTTCTTCTTCTTCTTCCTTCAAACAACCCGGCTAAACCATCAAAACCAGCGGGTTGGCTGGTTGTGGTCGGTTGTAACCGGTTTGCACCAGTTCTTTCCGGTTTGATATTCTTCTGATTTTGTTGTTAAACTAGACCAGACAACTGACCGGTTCACCAGTTTCTAGTCTGAACCGGCCGGTCCAGTTCAGTTTTTTGTTCATTGGATGTGATTATTCAATGAAACTTTCATACACAACCATGTCAAAGGAAAGTCTGTGTACGCACATATGTTTGTGTGTGTGTGTCTACATATATATATATATATATATATTAGATATTTAAGAGTTAAGATATCAATTTGTCTTTGAAGTTTTCATTTTGAAAAAGTATGAGGAATTTTTTTTGGGAGTAAATTTATTTTAGAAATTTGAAATCGTAGCAATATTGCTGCTTATTGTTAAAAAAACTAACATTGACTGTTAATATTTTTAACGGCAAGGGATAATATTGCTACGATTTCAAACTTTCAAAGTAAATTTGCATCCTGAAAAAACTTTCAGATATCCAATGCTTCTAAGTGAAAATTTCTAGGACAAATTTGTATCTTAACTTAATAATTAATACTGTCTATTGTCTTGACATGGAACGAAGCTTGAAGGAAGCATAAATGCCTACTACCACCACCAGAACTGCGGCGCCTACACATAAAAGCTTCTGTTTATCTCCTTCACCGAACCTATTGGCCAATCTTGTTACAGTTTGAGAAGCAGAACCGGCCATATCTTTGATCTCTTTACCTCTTGAAGATTCACTCACTATATCTCCATGGTTCTTTTCTTTCAATATATCAGTTTGAATATCCATTTGGTTTTCTTCTTTCTCTGGGGTTTTCTTCAAGCTTGAACTTTCATCTATAATAAGCATGGCAGATTCTTTTCTTTCTTCCTTACTTTTTTCTCTTGCCAAACTCAGATCTTTTTGAAATCCGTCCTTTTCCCTCTTCTTTGAGGTTTTCTTCAAGCCTGAACTAACAGCTTCTTTTCTTTCTTCCTTACTTTTCTCTCTTGCCAAACTCAGATCTTTTTGAAATCCATCATTTTCCCTCCTCTCTGAGGTTTTCTTCAAGCCTAAACTTTCATCTGTAATAACTATAACAGCTTCTTTTCTTTCTTCCTTATTTTTCTCTCTTACCAAACTCAGATCTTTTTGAAATCCGTCCTTTTCCCTCCTCTCTGAGGTTTTCTTCAAGCCTAAACTTTCATCTATAATAACTATAACAGCTTCCTTTCTTTCTTCCTTATTTTTCTCTCTTGCCAAACTCAGATCTTTTTGAAATCCGTCCTTTTCCCTCTTCTCTGAGGTTTTCTTCAAGCCTAAACTTTCATCTGTAATAACTATGACAGATTCTTTTCTTTCTTCCTTACTTTTCTCTCTTACCAAACTCAGATCTTTCTGAAATCCATCCTTTTCCCTCTTCTCTAAGGTTTTCTTCAAGCTAGAACTTTCATCTGTAATAACCAAGTCAGATTCTTCTCTTTTGAATTCCTTACTTTTCTCTCTTTCCAAACACTGATCTTTCCGAGGTGATGCCTTTCCTTCCTCAATCTTCTCATCGTCTAATGTAACTTCTTGAGGAATTCCCTTTCCCTCTTGATCCTTCTGGAGCATTCTAGATTCTCCTTTGTCTATCTCTATGATTAATGAAGAATCTTCTGTTGTACTCTCTTTCATCTCATCCTCATGAGGCTTTTGATCATCCTCTTGAGGCATTTTACGAGATTCTTCATGAGTGACTTCTTCTGGTGGGGTTGGTGGTGTTTCATCTTTTTTCTCATCAGATTCTCTTTCACTCTCCATCTTTGATTTGGGTTTTTCCTCAGAAACACCTTCTGTTGTACCTTCTTGAGGAATTCCCTTTCCCTCTTGATCCTCCTGGAGGATTCTAGATTCTTCTTTGTCTTTCTCTGTGATTGATGAAGAATCTTCTCTTGTACTCTCTTTCATCTCATCCCCATGAGGCTTTTGATCATCCTCTTGAGGCATTTACGAGATTCTTCATGAGTGACTTCTTCTGGTAGGGTTGGTGGTGTTTCATCTTTTTTCTCATCAGATTCTCTTTCACTCTCCATTTCTGATTTGGGTTTTTCCTTAGAAACACCTTCTGTTGTACCTTCTTGAGGAATTCCCTTTCCCTCTTGATCCTCCTGGAGGATTCTAGATTCTTTGTCTTTCTCTGTAATTGATGAAGAATCTTCTCTTGTACTCTCTTTCATCTCATCCCTATAAGGCTTTTGATCATCCTCTTGAGGCATTTTACGAGATTCTTCATGAGTGACTTCTTTGGTGGGGTTGGTGGTGTTTCATCTTTTTTCTCATCAGATTCTCTTTCACTCTCCATCTCTGATTTGGGTTTTTCCTCAGAAACACCTTCTGTTGTACCTTCTTGAGGAATTCCCTTTCCTTCTTGATCCTCCTGGAGGATTCTAAATTCTTCTTTGTCTTTCTCTATGATTGATGAAGAATCTTCTCTTGTACTCTCTTTCATCTCATCCCCATGAGGCTTTTGATCATCCTCTTGAGGCATTTTACGAGATTCTTCATGAGTGACTTCTTCTGGTGGGGTTGGTGATGTTTCATCTTTTTTCTCATCAGATTCTCTTTCACTCTCCATCTCTGATTTGGGTTTTTCCTCAGAAACACCTTCTGTTGTACCTTCTTGAGGAATTCCCTTTCCCTCTTGATCCTCCTGGAGGATTCTAGATTTTTCTTTGTCTTTCTCTGTGATTGATGAAGAATCTTCTCTTGTACTCTCTTTCATCTCATCCCCATGAGGCTTTTGATCATCCTCTTGAGGCATTTTATGAGATTCTTCATGAGTGACTTCTTCTGGTGGGGTTGGTGGTGTTTCATCTTTTTTCTCATCAGATTCTCTTTCACTCTCCATCTCTGATTTGGGTTTTTCCTCAGAAACACCTTCTGTTGTACCTTCTTGAGGAATTCCCTTTCCCTCTTGATCCTCCTGGAGGATTCTAGATTCTTCTTTGTCTTTCTCTGTGATTGATGAAGAATCTTCTCTTATACTCTCTTTCATCTCATCCCTATGAGGCTTTTGATCATCCTCTTGAGGCATTTTACGAGATTCTTCATGAGTGACTTCTTCTGGTGGGGTTGGTGGTCTTTCATCTTTTTTCTCATCAGATTCTCTTTCACTCTCCATCTCTGATTTGGGTTTTTCCTCAGAAACACCTTCTGTTGTACCTTCTTGAGGAATTCCCTTTCCCTCTTGATCCTCCTGGAGGATTCTAGATTCTTCTTTGTCTTTCTCTGTCATTGATGAATAATCTTCTCTTGTACTCTCTTTCATCTCATCCCCATGAGGCTTTTGATCATCCTCTTGAGGCATTTTACGAGATTCTTCATGAGTGACTTCTTCTGGTGGGGTTGGTGGTCTTTCATCTTTTTTCTCATCAAATTCTCTTTCACTCTCCATTTCTGATTTGGGTTTTTCCTCAGAAACACCTTTCTCTCTCTTGCTTGCTTCTGGTTCAACTTCAGGAGTAGTAGATTCCTGTTTGGTTGTTTCTTGTTCTTGAGCTGGTTCTGGAATAGGCTTCTTTGGCATTCTAATGGTAATTTTTGCTTTTTCCCCTTCTTCAAACTGTCCCTTAAGCTCACCAGCATCACAATTTTTTGGAATTGTAAACTCTACACTGAAACGTTGCCGCTTATTATCTGCAATTGCTCGTTCACCAAAAACTCTGATTCTCCCGTAGAATGCTTCATAGTTTGCACCAACTTCTTGTTTTTTAAAACCTGATGAAAAAAATACATATATTTTGTGTAAAAAAAATTGCTAATGAAAAGTTGCCTCAGTTAAATAAAATTATGTCCTTTTTGTTTTATAGTTCATGGATCATGTCCCCTTCTTTTATTAAAAACAAATACTGTTATAAAAATATGGGAACTGAGAAGCTTTTTCTTTGTCAAAAAGACTCTTACTACACATTTGTTTTTATTGATTTCGTAAGCTATTTCATAACTTAAGCATATTTACACTTCAAATATTACTTTTTTAATTTTTTTTAAATTATTTCTCTAAAAAAAATTGAATTGTGAGTTTTGTACCGGCAAATCACAGTGCTATAATTTAGAAATAATATAACTGTTTTTATAACTTTTATGCATGTGGATTTATATGTGTGTATCAATACTATAAGCTCAATCAAGTTATTGGCCCAAAAAAAAAGGAGCTCAATCAAGTTATAATCCCGTCTAAGTGCTTAAACATATTTCGATTTAACTTATTTCTCCATCTTTTTTTAAAGCCAATTCTTTCAACTTCTCAAAGTAACTGAATGGTGGGTTTCGCATCATGCACGAAGCTTAAGTATTACATCATACTACCTCCGATTTTTAATATACTGCCTCTGATACTTAATATAAGATTCTGTTTGATTTTTATTTTGATCCTAAATATAATACCCCAATCCACTTTGGCTCTCATATTTATATAATTTTTTCCAAAGTAGCCATTCTAATAATGATAGTTCTAGTCAATACACTTGATTAACAAGGATATTCTAGAAAGGACAATACCTATTTAGGACAAATAACTAACTAACTTACTCTCTTAATCTTCTCAAATTAGTCAACTGGCTCTTATAATTAGGACCGGAGGTAGTAAGACCTAGTTGACTAATTTGGTGAGATTAAGAAAATTAGTTAAGTTAATTATTTGTAATAAATATACGTTGTTTTTTTCTAGAACACCCTTGCTGATTATTTGTATTGGCTGGCACTTCCTTTTGATAGAGCCTTTAATATGTGCAAACTATAATGACTACTTTGAAAATAAATATGAATGATAAAGTGGACTTGGGTCTTATATTTAGAACCAAATTAAAAGTCAAACAAGTTTTTATATTAAGGATTGGATGTAGTAGATTATATATATAGATATAGATGGGATAATTATGAAGTAATAATTTTTATTGGGAATAAGTTTAATTTGATTTTTTTTTTAAATCTCTTTTTTATGTAGTATTTGTATAATTAACAAATTATAAGCATATTGACTAATGTCTATAATGAGAAAGATATAAAGATTCAATAAAATGGGAAAAGCTATAAGAACATGATTGAAAATCAGATCATATATAAGGATCGACGAATTAATTTTTCTTAAATTCTAAGTTAGATAATGATACAAACCAGGAGTATGAACAAGACGAAGATGAGCATCTGCAGTTTCCATGTCTTCCATATGTGGGGTGAAAAATTCATATGATATTGGTTGTTGGGCATTGGAATTTTGGGCGGAAGACATGTTTTCTAGTATTTCTCTTTGTTTCAGAAAACTATGGCACGCAGCAACTTTTATTGAATTGCATTCAAGGGTCTCAACTTTCAATATTTATACACAGAGGATGATGCCCTCTGCTTTTGGGTTTGTTTTCCTATTAATGAGATTATTCCTTTTTGGTTTGTTCAGAAATGAATTGTGACTATTGAAGTTAGTTGATGAAAGAGTTTTTGATGTTTTCCTTATTGATATGAGAAGGATAGCTTGTTTTAGAGATAAAGCCAAAGTTCTTTGTTTGGCTCATACACTTGAACTTCCAGTTACCTTCTCATGAAAAAAACCACAGGGAGATTTTTTTTTTTGGGAATTAATTTTAACAGTTTTTACCATAAAATGGATTTTAGAAGAAAATTGGGTGTTGGGGGGGGGGAATTAATCTTGTTTGTTCTTTATTTTGCTTTATTTTACTATTAAGAGCATTTAAGTTTGACTTGAATCAGAGCATTTAAGTTTGACTTGAATACCTATTCTGTACTTCTGTTATTAGATAATGAAATTAATAATTATTACTCCTTCAGTCCTTAATATAGGACTCAAATATTAAGTTAGTTTTGGTCCTAAATATAAGACTTACTTTTTATATTTATTAATGTTCTCTAAATTACTCTTATAGATACTCTTTCAACCATAATCAAGTAGAAGAGGGAAGGGGGTATTAAGAAAAATGATTAAGTGTTTTAAGAAAAACGTATCACATTTCTCGTAATTAACTAACTTAACTAACTTCTTTAATCTAATCAAATTAATTAAATGAGTATTATATTACAGACCAGAGGAGTAGTTATTAATAACTCTAATATTTAACATAAGAAGGATTATAATATAAAATGCTCACATTGCACGAGGGATCATATCCTCTCAAAATCTTTTCTTTCCTTTTCTTCTTAAAATCTCATCTCAATCCTTAGAATTAAGAAATGGATGGTTCACATTTAACATTTTATAAAATTGCTTTTATAATATCTTATAAATTTTTTTATATACTAAAATTGTGAATTATCCATGTTAAATGTTAACTGTTTAATTTTATTTTTCATGTAATATTATAAAAATATTAAGCCTGAATTTTCTATTTTTTAATCTAAGGATAGAAATGAGATTCCCAAGAGGAGAAAAAAAAAAACAGTGAGATTGTGAGAGGATCCAGATCTATTATTATCGCATGAACGTATGAAACATGATGTTAATTTATAGTTGGCTGCTGAAAAATGAACCAAAAGTAGGAACAAAAAAATAGTTGATTCATATTTGTGTATTGCATGTGGCTAGAAAAGGAATAAAGAATCTCCTCAGATTCAGGTCACTAAGATTTGGCCTTTTGGTTATGGGATCTGCACGTGAGCGTCACATGTGAAATGAAATGCCATGGGAATAATAGCAATTAATTGAGGATTCTCGTTTTAATTACATACTTAAAATCTAAATTCATTTCAAAGTAGTCATATTTAATGGTGATTGTTTAAGTCTTATTTTGCTACACGAATACGAGATGATTGTATAAATTTTACACCTCTGTACTTAATACAAGAACTAGTTAAAGATAGATTTGATTCTAAATATATAGGATTTCAATTTATTTTTTCTCTCAAATTTATAATATTTTCTCTAAAATATCTTTGGTGATGTTCAGAGGTTCAGACCAACAAATAATTTTAATGTATATAATTAAAGAAAGTAACTTAAAGAAATCAATATCCATTTGTTATAATTAATCAACTTAACCAATTTAATTAATTTTTTCAAATTAGTTATCTAGTTTTTATAGTAAAGATTAGAAGTAATACAGTACTCCCTCTAGTTCAAAATATAAGATAAAATTTATATATTTACACTTATAAAAAATAGAGTTAGAATCAGTTTAAACAATAAATATATAAGCCATGTATTTTTTTTTTCAAAATACCCTTATTAATGAAGAGAATAAGTTAAAAATGCAATAAAAGAATGAAAAAGGAAAGAGAATATATGAGAATAAAATTAGGAAAAAAAACTTATTAAATGCTTAGACAAAAATAAATATTATTTCATAAAGAAAATCAAGCCCCTTCAATAAAGTTCAGTTTATATTTTGAACGAGAAGTACCATTGTATCTTGTCAACAACCAAAGTTTTGGTATTAAGCTTTTTTTTTTTTGGTTGCCAACTTCGGTTTAAGTTATTAATTTTCAATCAAAAGGTCACACTTAGTAACTTTATTAGTTGTTTTCTTTACCATCTGTTTGGTAGAAGGGAAATAGGAAGAGGAGGGAGAGAAATTTTTCATGAGCTCGATTTAAAAAATTAAAAAATAAGAGTTATAAAATTTTAGTAAACAGAAGACGTAAAATAAAAAATAATTAAAAGTTTTTAATCCTATTTATCCAGTTTTTATATCAAGCTAATCAAACTTATTCCTCTCATCCTTTTGACCCTTCTGTTTTTCTCATATCAGAGAGACCCTTAATCTTCATTTAATCTTTTACAACTGGCTCTGTATTGTCTAATTACCAACAATTTTCTTTGTACATAATTACCTGAAATAATTTTATTGCATTTTTTTTCAACAGTTGTCACACCTTTTTTTTTTTTTGCCATCATAAAAAATTTATCATTAATCATCACAAAATACATTCAAGTCCGTCAAAAAGAAAACGAAGACACAAGGTTATCTAAAATTATGTCTCCGTCTATATCTAGTAAGAATTGTAAACTCCATATCCAACCAGCCGACTTCTTCATTAAAGCTTTAGCAGCCTAATTTGCTATTTTTCTGTTGATCTTATATATAAAACTTATTTGATATGTTTATTAATTTTTTTAAATTAAACTATTAATATTCTGTCAATAATAATCAAGTAAGAAAGGCAGAGAGAAAATTAAGAAAAATTCTTAAGATATTTACAAAAAAAATATCATATTAACTAATTTAACTAAAATTATTAATCTATTCAAATTATTTAATTAGATAAAAGACAAAAAATATTAAATTTGCTTCCCTGAAAATGGTTTCCTATAATTTGAATTTAGTAATTAGGTCATAGATAAATAATTTAGTAATTTCAATTTTTTTTTTTGTACATTCTCTCTTAAATACTACCTTCGGTCCTAATCATAAGACCCAGTTGACTTATTTGAGGAGATGAAAGAAGTAAGTTAAGTTAGTTATTTGTAATAAATAAGTGTTGTCATTCCTAAAATATCCTTACTAATTAAGTGTATTGGCTAGAACTATCATTATTAGAAGGATTATCTTGAAAAAAAATATATAAATATGAGAGACAAAATAGATTGGGGTCTTATAATTAAGACCAAATAAAAAATCAAACGAAATCTTATATTAAGAACAGGAGGTAGTATAATATATTTAGCAAAAATATGTAAAGAAGGAAGTAAGGAAGAGACGTCGGGTAGAGTGAGAGGAATTTAATGGACTAACGTGGCGCATTACAACGTTCGGTTCGAAGGAACCAACCAAACCCACATTCTCTTCGGCGGCAGCCTTCCTTTTCATATCCCTGAATTTTTTAGATAAGCTTTTCCGATAATAATCGGGGGAAAGAGTCAAATATGCTGGCCCGTGGCACTTCTGGGGCTGTTGTGGGTTGGCATAGAATGCTGAGAAAATCACTGTTGCATCCTTTGCCTCTTCCATCTTCTTGTGCACTTCTTGGCCCCAACCTTCCTGATGTTTGGGTTCCCAGACAGAACACTTCTGATACCCATTTCTCAGAAAGACAAAACTTTGAGTTTGAAGGTACCAATTTACTGCTCTACTGTTGTATAATCCTTTGTTCAGGTCACTTAAGTGAGTCATGCAAAAGGGTGAGCATAATGCTGCGATTCTAGTGTTCTCTAGAGCTCTGCTTTGGTCATCTCTGTTAATAGGTTTTGTTTCATATTTTTTACCCTGTTATTTGTTATTTGTGATGCGAAAGGGGTGAAGTCTAATGCTGTCATTCTCGGAGGGAAATCGATTGCCCAAGACGTGAAACAAAAAGTAGCTGAAGAAATAGGGAGAATTAAAAGGACAATTGGGAAGTCTCCTAAGTTGGCTGTGGTTCTTGTTGGTGATAGAAGAGATTCTCAGACCTTCATCCACATTAAGTTAAAAGCCTGTGAGCAGGCTGGCATTGAAACATCGGTAGCCCTCTTGCCTCAAAACTGTGAAAAAAAAGAACTACTTGATGTTGTTACCAATTTTAACAAAGACCCAGCTGTGCATGGCATCATTGTGCAACTTCCCCTGCCCCAAGTAATTTCTATTCCATTTTTACTTTTTACAAATTACTTGCGCTTGTTAACCTAAAGCTCTGATTCAGCGCAATGGAGGCTCCGTTTGATCTAAAATTAGATATAGTACTGTGAGTAAGTTGCTTTGACCTCCCATACATTAATTTTGGTGAAGTTACAGGAATTTTGTGCATGAAAATTCTGATTCATAAAAATTGATGGAATTATATGGTCCAATATGGAACTATTAATGACTTTGTTATTTGAAATTAATATGCAGCATTTGGATGAGGAAAATGTCATCAACTTTGTGAATCCAGAAAAGGATGTGGATGGCTTTCATCCCTTAAATATAGGAAACCTTGCCGTGAAGGGAAGAAAACCATTCTTCATTCCTTGTGCTTCTAAGAGCTGCATTGAGTTGTTGCTTAGGCATGGAGTGGAAATTGGTGGGAAGAGAGCAGTTGTAATTGGAAGAAGTAAAATTGCGGGGTTACCCACTTCGTTGCTGTTGCAGGTAAGTACTTATATGTTGTTTCTGAGCAGAATGTTTATGTTGGCAGGTTGCTAATTTGTTGTCTTTCAAGTAGAGGCATCATGCAACAGTAAGCATGGTACATGCATTCACAGAGAACCCAGAATGGGTAACATCTGAAGCTGACATTGTGGTAGCAGACGTTGGGATGCCCAATATGATTCGTGGCAATTGGTTAAAACAAGGAGCGGTCGTGGTTGACATGGGAACAAATCAAGTTAAGGTACAAACTCTCTGTCATTTGAGTTAGGCTAAATGAGCGGAGACATTATCACTTTCAGTTTAGTAACTGTCAGAATGCGAGGCTCTTTCCAATCAATTGTCTAATTTGTATTAAAAGAAGAAATTTGATTCAAATGGAAGTAATCATAGCCTAGTACAAGCCTAGGTTTTTTAATTTCTGTCTTCCACTTTAGCTTTGACTTTCTTCAGAGATTTATTTTGATAAAAATGCTTGCATATGTTTTAATTTCACGAAAAGTAGGATGTACCTAGATGGTTTTCTTATAATTTGACTGGTTAAAGTTAGTTTTAACAAATTTTGATTTTCTTTTACCTCTATTATTATTATTACTACTACTATGATTATTTCAGATAGTGTTAATTACGATGAGGATGAGTCTAATATCTATGTGTAATTTAAATACTTGACCAACACCTTTTTTTTAACTACAGTATTACTTTGTTACAGATGTGGGATAGTTAATAAAATTTCAGAGGTTCTTTTCTCCTTTCTTTGACCAAGTAAGAGGCAAATGCATGTTGTTGGGTTGAGTAAGAGCGAAAAGGCTTCTCAAGTAAGGTTTCAAATGTGAGTATTATGGTTAGGGGAAAAAAAAACTTTGAGAGCTATCCTCTGTTTGGGACCCAACATTGCTCAAATTTAGATTCACTGGCGATGTTGAAAACCCAGTGGTTGTCACCCAGAAAAGATGCATGCTATTAAGCGATAAGATGAATTTTCTTGTCCTTCTATTCATTTGATGTGCTTAACACAACTTGCAGCACCCCAACAAAGAAGGCTTCCGTGTCATAGGAGATGTTTGCTATGAAGAGGCGATCAAGGTGGCATCAGCCCTTACTCCTGTGCCCGGAGGTTTGGGACCAATAACAATATCAATGCTTCTTTCCAATACCCTTGATGCAGCAAAACATGCATATGGGTTGGTTTGAATCAGTTGGTTGTTCCAAGATATAAGCTCTATGTTGTATCTGGCTCTGTGCATGGATATTCCTAACCATGTAAGCAAACCAAATCAATGTGAAGTTTCTCTTGAAAAGCCATTGCGTCTTGGATGGATCAGTATGGGAATCTGCATATAGCAGGTGCAGTAAATTTGAGATTCAAGTGAGTATGGAATCGTAAGATTATAAACATTTTAAGAAATTTGGGTGCATTGCACAGGTTTTGCACATCAATGAGCCATACTCTTATGTAGCATTTGAAAGCTAACCAAACTGTTTTATGTGCTGTACATACCAACATCAAAGTTCTTCGACTCTGTAGCTATTCTTGGCTTCGTTTATTTTTGAAAGTTTGAACCTTCCTTGCACAAGTAAAAAACAAATGGGACTTCTGATTTTGTTTTGGAACTGTGTTTGAGCTGATATAGGAGGAATCATAGTGCTATTTGTTGTTTCTAGTTTGTATTGCTGTACAAAAACATTACTCGGAGGGCATTACTTTTGTGGACAGCAAATTTGCTTTGCATGTATATATATCTACTGGAAAAAGGAGACACACACTCATAGACGTCATGTGTCAATCTATATATCTTTGAACTGTTACCAAGTGTTGTCTCCTATAATGGTTTGGAAGCTGTACCAATTTGTGCGTGTATATGCCTAAGATGTTGGCATATTTTTCTTCTCTTCGAGCTAGCTGATTATTTATTGTAATCAATATTCTGATTGTCAAATTTGTATATATTTTCAGTCAAGTAATTAAATAATTAAATAAATTTGCATAATGATCAATCACATGTCCCTTTTATGCATTCTCGCCTTGTAGCTAATAGCATTAATTGTAGCTTCAAATCCAAATGGAAATGGTTGTATTGTTCACCATATTTGGAATGGTAAGAGAACCTTTTTTCTTTTTGTGCTGATCGACTATCAACCCAAAATTGATGGTTTGATCTGGGGGTCACTCAGGTTCCTGATCTGTACAGAAATAGAAGATGGATGCTGCATGGTGCTTTTAAGGGTAATCCAATTACAGCGAGATAGCAGACCATTTTGCAACGTTTGTGCTTCGGAAATCATTATTTGATGTTTTCTAAAGATGTCTTAATAGACAACCTAGTTTACTGAGTAAGTTATCAACAAATGCTTGTACCAAAATTATCAACATTGGAGATTATAGTTTGAACTATTATCTGAGGAAGGGATTTTTTGTCTAGAATATACCGACCTGTAATTGTGATTTTCATCAACAGGGTGCTTTATTTTATTTGTATGGGATCTGTTTTTAGAAGCCCCTTTTGTGGATGGAAGCATTATTCCTTAGCAGGAATTTATACTCTGAACTTGTTTGTGGAATGTTGTACTTCAGGCGAAAGACTTAGAACATAAATGACAATTGTTGTTCTGTAGACGGTGCTAAGGGTTGGCTTTTACCTTAACACAGTATTATGAAATAAGCACTTGAGTAGAGAATTAGATCTAGGCTTCCTATGAAGAGGAGAACTTATAAACTGCATAAGCCCCCACTGCTGCAAGTACTAACACTGAGGCACCCATGTTCCAAAGTAAGGGCTTGTCTTCTTTATCCCACTTCCCCTGTGCAATTCTTGCGAAAGCCTGGGAAGCAGAAGTGGCAACTTCTTTGATTCCCTTCCCTATTGTATCAACTTCAGCTTTGCTGGTCACTTCCTTTTCCTTCTCAGGAATTTTTGGAACGGAATGTTCACCTGTTTTGACCAACTCTCTTCTTTCTGTGTTTTCTTTCTGGATAACCATGCTCTTCTCCTTCACACCATTCCCAGTCTTTCTTGACTCAGAAGGCTTCCCTTCTTTTATAATTTCTTTTTCTGAAATCCTTTCTTTCTCCGCATCTTCACCTCTCCTTTTCCCAGTCTTTTCACCTGATGGCTTTCCATTAACTGATGTTAATGTCGCATTTTGATCTGTTCCTTCTTGACCTCTCTCTGGTTTTTCATCCAAGGGCTTTCTGGGAACCATCTCTGATTTGGGTTTTGGCTCAGTTTCTTCTTTAATCTTCTGAGGCACACCATCTGCTTTCTTTTCTGCTACTGCCATTGTCAATTCCTTCTCTGGCTTTTGGCTATCAATAGATGGGATCTTTTCCTCACTTTTCTGTGCCTCCATATCACCAGGGCCTGTACTAGCAGATTTGGGTGGGATGGCTTGTTCAGCTTTCTGGGATGGGCCTGCAAGTGCTTGTTCTTGGGTTGGTTTCACTTCTGCTTGTGGAATGATCTTCTTTGGCATTATAATGGAAAGAATTCCCTGACGAAAGTTGCTCTGAACTTTGTTCATAATGCAATTTTGAGGAACTTGGTATGCCTCTCTGAAACGGCTCCTTCTGATGCCTCCATCAATGGGTCTTTCCCCAGAAACCCTCAACAGTTTAGATGATTCGTCATATTGAACCCTTATGCGTTCCTTTGTGAAGCCTTTCAGAAGCATGAGAGAAACATAAGTTGATAAATGGATTTGAAGCTTCTATAATTTTTAATAAATAATTTAGTTTATGTTTTAAACTTTTTCATGGAAAAATTGCCATTATTAATTTAAATACATTATTTTTCAAAAAATAATCAATTGAAATGTATTCATAAAACTTAAAATGAAATTTAAATGTAAGGTAATGTTTTCTTTTATCACAAATTTGTCATATATTTTTTTAAAATACCCCATACGAATTGAATTAAATTTATGAAAAAATATATAGCTTTTTCTGGCTTGATCTATTTTCTGGTTTGATCTATAGAAATATTGATGATTTTCTAATTATTTTTTTCCGGTCTTGATACACAACAATGATTTTTTATTTTTACGGATTATTTGATTGAATGAAATTGATTCATTTCAAAAGAAAGAGCTCGTACTGAAACATAAAGAAAACTAAGGCACACCTTGATATATATTCAATGACCAAAAAAAAAAAACAGAGAGAAAACCCCAATTGAATCCAGTTGAACTATCAAAATTTAAATTAAGATCTGCACTTTTAATAAATCCATAATTAGGCTAAAAAGCCTTATTAGGGATTTTTTAATGTTATTAAAAGACTAAAATGTCCCTTTAAGTTAGTAAATTAGTAATTGTTTCAATTAATTTATGACCTAGCTTCTTTTTTTCTTGAGATGCTACTTGATGATCTATTGGTTTCACATGTTTTTGCCCCATATAAATATATGACTTTTTTTAATATAAGTTTATATTAAGCAATTCATATTACTCCATTCGTCCAATCAAATGTTGGAAAAATTATTTTGATTTCTAATATCAGTTCATATTAATTATTACTATGAATTTTAGTCATGAGATTATAAAATATAATACGATGAAAACGTCTATATGACAGATACAACAAAGCACTTAAGAAAAAAAATGATAAATTTGATGCTAAAACCTACGAATACATTAAGATTCTGATTTTTTTAATTATAAAAAGAAAATTTTTCTTCAAAAAATTATTAATTTAATAGTATTGGAATCAAGTAATTAAAAGGTTCTTGTTTCTTATCAATATATTAGAGTTAGTATAAAATATTATATTATGCATTATCAATTTTTTGCTCTTAGTATTTCTAAATTTTTTAATGTAAAATATTTTTTTATAGATAAATACTATATAATGTCAAGTTTTTACGATTTGATATTTTTTTTTCAAAACAATATTATTTTAAATTATCAAAGGTATTTTAGTCTTTTAACACTATTAAAAAATTATTAATAAGGTTTTTTGGTCTAATTAGGAATTTGTTAAAAATATGGGTTTTAATTTGAGTTTTGATATTTCAAACGGATTTAATTAGGATTCTCTCAAAAAAAATATTATGATTCGAAAATTGAGATATATCATGCTGGCCAAAAAAACAGAGATATGTCATATCTATTTGTGATTTTATTATTTGCTTATTGAAAGTATTTTTATCATTACAATTCAATAGTGAGATCATTTTTCTCTTATTTTTTATTTGGTTGGACTCTAATATTTAAATATTTATTATTAATTTTCAAAGTATTCAAAATATTTTTATATGTACTTAATATAAACGGTTAATATTCAATCTCAATTGTTTGATCTATGGAAATATTGATGATTTTCTAATTATAATATAAGTTTTATACGAAAATAAATAAGTTAAAAAAAAATAACAAATGACACTACAAACTTAACAAATCTTAATAGCAGATAGCAAGAACTCCGCTGATTCTAATCCCATTAAAGTTAAAAGAAAAAATTGGCAGCTTTTACCTTCTGCTACTTATTATGAGAACATTTTAACAACTTCATAAATATTAAAAAATTTAGTTAAATTCAAAAAGTTTTTATACTATAAGAAATAATAACTGCTCACTTGTTATTAGAACTTACTAGTAATTATTTTTTTTTGGGAGTTGAAATCTTATTGTAGTTCTCCTTTAAATTTATTTCTTGTGGATTTCAAGAATCGGCATCTACTCCATATTGCCATAAAAGCTGGAAAGAGGATTGCTAATGGAAAAGAATAGATGCCGGGAATTTCAAGTTCATTCCGTTCTCTATAATAAGATTTTCACTAACCAAAAACATGCATAGTTAACTTGATTTTCAGTAAACAATGTCAACTAATTAATAACTCAAGCATTCTGAATTAAAGCAATCACATTAAAAAAGAAATGTCACACCAATGGTAAGCTGTTCTAGTGACAGCACCGCCCACTATGATTGAATGAGGTCTCAAATTCGAGCTCAACTTTAATATATTTGTACGTGCATGTGCGTTTAAATTGCATAACTGGGAAAAAAAAGTTATTTCATTTTTTATTATGATAAAATTCAATTTAGTTGATAGTATTAGATATTTTATATTTTTTTAATTAAAAAAGGAGAAGAAAGAAGAAAATATTCTGGGAAGATGAAATATCAGAACGAAAGAATGGAACAGGGATGAACCAGGAAGTTGAATCCGCAGGACGTGAGCTTCTGGGTTTTCTGTCAGATCAGACTTAGGCTTGAAGTCTTGATACACAGGACGCAGATTAGATGGCTGAGTCCTGAAAGCTGGTCTTCTTGGCCTCATACTCATAGCCATAATATCTTCTTTTTCTTTCTCTCTTTTTCTCAACTTTCTCTCTCGCCAAACAACAATATGTTCTAGCACACAACTCCTTCAATATAATCCAACTTTCTGGGTGTGCATGTATTTATACATATGGTGGAAAGCGTTTGCGTTCAAGAAATGATCTTTTTTTTTTTCCCTTGTTGAGGAGAGTATTCCTTGTTGTTTGCTTTGGTTTGTCAATGTAATGGGGTTGAAAAAAATTTGGTCTTTTTGTGAGAGGATTGAGGTATAACTTGTTTGGCAAATAAGGTAATTGTTCTTTGTTTTGAAGAGAAATTTGCAGAGCAAGCCTTAAGTGATCAAACGTTGTGGCTTATAGCTATAGGTTTCCTTCCTTCCTTTCTTTGCTTTTTTAATTTTTTTGGAGTAGCTATAGGTTTTGTTTCTCCTTTCCGTAGTTCTACATAAACACAAGGCATATACGTGTGTTTGGAATTGGGAAAAAAAGGGGGGGGGGGCATATTAACAATTCAGATCCAAAACATCCTAATTTTACTGCAGATCGAGAGACATTTGACATTATGTTTTTGCGTGTTTGTCAAGTTTCCTAGTCATCTTGACAAGTAGACGTAAGGTCACAAAAACTCTCTTTTTACATTTCTAACCTTGTTGTAAAGTTCCCCATAACAAATTGACAAATGAATGTCGGTACTCGGTAGAATTGCAAGTTGACTTGCTATTTTAATACTCCTCCGATCTTTAATATAAGACTCATTTAACTAATTTGATTAGATTAGGAAAGTTAAGTAAGTTAATTAATTATAAGAAAAGTGATATATTTTTCCTAAAACACCATAATCATCTTTCTTAATATCCCCTCATTTTTCTACCTGATTATGGTTGAAGGAATATTCACAAGGGTAATTTAGAAAAAATTAATAAATATGAGAAATAGATTTTATATTTAGGACCAAAACCAATTCAAGAATTGAATCTTATATTAAAGATCAGAAGAGTATACTATTTCTAATTCCTAATACAAGATACAATTGACTAATTTAAGAAGATTAAGAAAATTATTAAATTACTTAATTAGATGTTACATGATTTCTTTAAAATAGTTATACTTATCAATTCATAAATAAGACATTAGTTTTAAAAAAAAACAATAAATATAAATAATTTAAATTAATTTAGTAACTTCATTAATTTCTGCAAATCAATCAAGAACTCAAGGTAGTACTTCATTTTATAAAAGATGAAACCACATTTTGATTCCTTCTCCTAATGCTATCGTGACACCGGAGATCAAGGGATTACTTCATCATTTGAGATTTAGTTAAAACGTTTCCTTGCCAGAAAGTCCTATCATATTCTAAGCAAGACAAATTTCCTTGCATCAACTTTCCTTTTCATCATAACCCATCTAGCTTTTCAAATTTGTTTGCCCGGCTCACTTGTTAAGCTTGAACTGGAGGGTCTTTTTTCATTTGGAATCGGAGTTGGTCAATGGTCAACTCCGCATATGATTAGTACCCGGTCCCAAATCCATCAAGATAGAAGAGAAGGATCCCACTAGGTTTGTTATGGCCAAGGACCAATGAAGAACCAGAGCTGGTCATTCCACTGGAACCAAGAGATGTTGATCATTCTAAGATAGCCAGTACCTCATACAAATATGTTATTCCTTGGCCACCAATTCTCCATTACAGGATAAAAGATAAAAAGCTGCTCTACTTTGGAGATACCTTCCAAAAAGAAATGAGCCCATATACGTACTCCATTTTCTCTTACCACCTGATTTATTCCATTACATTTCATATCTTGATCCATGTTCTGAAGCATATTATTCAGAATTCATATATCTATTGCACAAAACAGCATACTACAGTAGCGAGTGGTATGTAGATTAATGGACAATGTAGAACATTCAACTCAAGTAGTGTCAACAACATAATATAAAATATTGATGGCAAAATCCAACTTGTACTCTACCAGAAAAAACTAAGATGCTAGTCCAGGGAACTTCAAACTAAAATCACAAAATTGGAACTTGCTACATTCAATATTGCAATCTAACCAACAAATGCTTGGGACTTGTTCAGGATCACTCCTTCGTATTTCACTTGGAACCACTTCATTGCATCCTCCTTTGTGACTCGGTGCTGGATCCCAACACGAGACTTGCACCTGCGGCGACGTCCCACACGGTATCCAGGGCGCTCCAGAACAACATAGAAGTCCATTCCATAGATACCAGTAGATGGATCGTATCTGAAGTAGAGTAGCCAATTTTCAATACACAATACATAACAGTTTTGAAGATTGAAGGAAGAAACTAAATTCAGTTTATAATGCAAAGATGAAAGGATTTATGCACAGAGCCAACGGACAGAAACCGGCCTAATTTAAATAACAGGGAAAAAAACAAACTTAATGGAACTAAAGCTCAGAATTTCACCAAGAATGACAAAATAGTTGATAAAAACCAGAAATAAGGTAAAACACAGCCTGTAAAGACTTTACATGCCATTAGATATGTTGCAGTTCCATAGATAAAACACTATGCACATGACAAAATACTGCAATCTGAAGAGATTTCCCGCTTACTTGATCCCCAAATCAATATGCTCCTGAATGCCAAAGCCGAAACATCCTGTATCACTGAAGTTTCTTCTCAGCAGTTCATATTCCTTCACCTTCAGACCACTCTCCAGAAGCTGCATTGCCTTGTCACCCCTAACAGTGACATAGCATGCAATCTTTTCATTCCTTCTAATACCGAAGGAACGAACAGTATACCTTGCTGTCCAAAAGCAGACAAGCAAACTGAGAACTAATAAAGTGGAAAATGCAGCGAGCAACGAACAATATATCCAAGAACACTAACTTCAGTCACTTTAGCTCCCTCAAGTGAAACTAATCATAAATCTTTCTTTTTATGTTTAAAAGCTAAACATCAACGCAGCCAATAATGTAGTCTTAAGGATACCATGCTCAGAAGTCTTTACTTTAATTGGGATTAAAAATACTTATTGCTCGATTTACAGATTTTAAACCAACAATTATATCAACGAATGCAAGGAACAGCAGTGTAATATGTCTCTCAAATATTTAGAGTGCCGACTTGTGTATCTTGCTCTAAGAGACATTTAGCCATCAAGCAAAATTATATATCAAAATCCCCCAACATTATAACCAACTTGTAATCGAAACCCATATATTATAATCAACTTGGTGACAAGTTCTACAATTTACAACCAAACTTCACCCAGATTTCCCGGCCAAACAAGGAAAAAAAAAACCATAAAGAAAGTGTCGTTGTACAAACCCAACCAAGCATAGCATCACAAGGATAAAAGAATTAACCTTTAGAAAATACTGGGGTTTGGCCACTAAGCTGCTCCAACACCTATAACAAAGCAAAAAAAAAAAAGAATAATTCGAATCAAAAGGTCAATTCGAACCACCAAAGAACAGAAAGGACCATTCACAATACGGATGGAAAACCTTAGCAGCTCTGGTGAGACGATCTCCACTCTCACCCACTGAGATATTGAGAACGAGCTTCTGGACCTTTATTTCCCTCATAGGGTTCGCCAGCTTCTTCTCTGAAGCCTGTTCATGAAGCATTTCACATCAGCCAGAAGCAGAAAATGAGTCATAGAAATGAATAGATAAAAAGTGAGAATAACGAAAAGAGGAGGAGGAAGAAGAGTGCATACCATTGGAAAGGAACCTAGGCGACCTGAAGCGGCGGAGACAGAGAAGAAAGGCAGCTAGAAGAAACACTAATAATGCGAGAGGAATACGGCGCTAGGGTTTTAAGAGAGCCGATGATAAAAGTTAGCCCCGAGAGGCAGCCACTGCCTCACTGGCAAGCCAAAATATTTTTTGTTTAAATAAATTTTAAATTTATCTCTTACATTTTCTATTTTTAGGATTTTTTTTGTAATTTTATTTGTTACTAATATTTTGCTTTATAATTTTAATTTAATTTGATTCACCTATTACCCTCTGATTAATATTGCATTTTTCTTTTACTGAAGAATCAAACAATTTTTTTTAATATTCTAACATTATAGTATTAAAATATTTTAAAAATAAAATTGATAGTTTAATTATGATAAAATAAAATTGCATAAAAATGAAATATGGTATGAAATTTAGTTATAAAATCAGAACTCAAACGATGAAACTCAGGGTAGATGCAATTAAATTAAGAGAAAATTACGCACAGGTCTTAAGGAGGAAACTTTATTCATCTAAGGTCCTACAAAATGTGAAAATTACTAGCAAGTTCTAAGAGACCTTAGAGTATTATATTTTAATTGTAAAATGACATCATTGCCCCTCAGATTCTCAATTCATATTTTTTTTGTTATTGCAATTGATAACCTCAGCAGCGACTATTAACAACCTAATGAGAAGGTCTTGACAACCCAAGCAGTATTCGTTGACAATTTACTTTGTAGGATCACATAACCTCCATATAAGAGTAAATTAAAACCAAATAGTATAATACAACAACTTTAACACTAAAATAGAAAGTTTTTCGAAACCATTAAGAACTTTAACTAAACCCGATTATAGTAAAATTTTAATGCACAGGTCTATTGACAATCTCAACGGTGAGTATTAATAACCTAAGGAAAGCTGTTGACAATCTTACAATGTTTGTTGACAACTAACTTTATAGGATAATATAACCTTTAACAAATGTCAAATTTTTTACCCAAATGCAATTTTTTTCCCAAATATACCCCTATATATAAATTGGTAAATATGAGAAAGTAATGATGAGATAAATAAAGAAAGATAATGTATTAAATACATTAAATTAAGAATAAAATAGATAATAAAATATTAAATGCTCATATAAACTCAAAGAGAATTTTATAAAAAGAAACAGACTCATTCAAAAAATCAGATCTTATAATAAGCTAGGAACTAGGAGTATAATATATGTGAGAGTTATGTGTCAATTTTAAATACAATCATTTGTGAAATTCTCTTAATTAGCAAGCCTACAGTGCATGTCATGTACATTTCTCATGCTGCCATATTACTGGCACTACATTTCTTCACCCAAAGTGACAGAGAAAGAGATGAATGGCTCCAATGCAAACACTTTAAAGACAGCTTTTAAAATCAACCAACGCTTCGGTCAACTGGTAATTAAGAAAATGATACTGACTATCTAATATAAAATCTAATTATTAAGCTGATTGTAACCTTAAATATATGACTTATTTCTGATATTTATTAATTTTTTTAAAGATGATCATGGTGTTTTAAAAAAAAAAAGTTATATTCTTATAGTTAACTAACTTATCTAATTTACTTAATTTAATTAATTAGTTATATAGGTATTATATTAAGAATTGGAGGAATATAAATTTAATCAGAAGCTTTGAATTCGAGCCCTAAAAATGCTACTACGTTAATTATTTGGTGGTGGGGCTTGTTTGGTCGAATAGAGACATCTAAATTAATTCGAATAAGCCTAGAACTTGACAAATCCTCTAATTGAAATGTGTATTAGGCGTCCAGATTAAAAAAAAAAAAAAGGGACTTTTTGAGGAATAATTTAAAATTACAACCATGATGAAATTTTAGACATTGGGCCATGGAAAAGTAAGAAAAGTCGTTCTTGTAATACTGGCCCAACAAGGCTTTCGAGACAATAAACTGAAATTTGGGCTTGGAAAACTTAGAAAAGGGCCTTTCTCGTAATACTAGCCCAACGAGGACCTTAAAGAAGACGGTCAAGAAAGTGGCATAGAGGAGTTCAGGGAGAAATCAATTCATCAATCAATAATCAATAATCCATAAATCAATAATAATAATAATAATAATAAAATAATATAATAATATACTACCTCCGGTCCTTAATATAAGACCCCATTTGACTTTTAGTTTGGTCCTAATTATAAGACCCCAATCCATTTTATCTCTCATATTTATGTATTTTTTTCCAAGACAATCCTTCTAATAATGATAGTTCTAGCCAATACACTTAATTAGTAAGGATATTTTAGGAATGACAACGCTTATTTATTACAAATAACTAACTTAATTTACTTCCTTTATCTTCTTAAATTAGTCAATTGAGTCTTATAATTAAGACCAGAGGTAGTAATAAATAATAAATAAATAAATAAATACCACTAAAACTCGTAGCAAGTTGTTCATTGGTCCATTTGTGCATCCACGGTATACCTTTCTCAGTCGTTTAGTGGTTAAAGATACGGTGGAATACAACTTATGAGATGAAAAGTTGGATGACATATAAAGTTCAGAATATATTACTATATTCACTCACACAAACTATTAATAAATGACTTCATCCAGTCTAACCAATTAGATTTGTCTCCATCTTATTTCCTATTGGAGGTATACAATGAAATGATGAATGTAGAAGCATGCGCGGGCAAAAATTTTCAATTTTCAAATTCAAATTGTTTCAAAATCACTCAAAATAACACCTTCAACCCTAACCACATTTAATTCATAGGAAGGACAATGAAGGTTATCAGTTGGTTTTTTTTCTCTCCACTCATCGGACAGAACTGCAGAACCCCCTAGCTTTCATCTTCGTCTCACTTTAGTGCCTCACATGCCTGATCAAGCTTGTTGATCACCATTGTTGAGTGAATTTTGTCATCTATATTGTCTGCAATCTCAGGCTGGAAGGTTTGATTCTCATTTGATTGAAAACTCACATCTCTTCCTTAGGATCCGTTTAGAACAGCTTATAATTAGCTTATAAGCTACTTTTTAATAGTGATTTACGGAATACGATGCAAGTATGTGAGAAGAGTTTTGTCTTGACTTATATCAAACGTGCTTATAAGAGATTTTTACTGCTTCGCCAAATGGGGCCTCAGTCTTCGCTTTTTGTTGTTGCATGCTGCCATTCAGTGCGCTGCCTTTGGAATCGTTAAGGCTAGCTCCTTTTGGACCAAAATGTAATAGGACTATTGAAAGAACTGGGCAATGTAAAAGTTTGAGTCATGGCCCATGGGCAGCGCTTCACAAAATTCGCTGGAGTTGACAATATCTGACCTATGATATCATTTAAGCTTTAAGAATGTGACACTTCACAATCCTGTCATTTGAATGTATTGTTGTACTATAATTTCTTTTGCTACAAATATCATTAGGCAAATCCACCACAATGCGTCGTGATAGATGAGATTGCAGGGAAATGCACATAAGAGAATGATGAAGAACTTCAAGAAGATTGATGTTATTGCCATCCATTTTGGGAAGCTTATGTGTGAAAAAGGCAAAGGCATAATTGAACTATTCCTTCGGACAATCAAACATAACTGGCATGCATGTTGACAAAATTCATGTTAACGTTATTTCAGGGGTACTATTTCGCAAAAGTGCAAAACCACCATCAAATTAGTAAGGTCATTTTCAATCCAATAGAGCAGGACAATGAAGAGTCTGCCTGCCTCATTGGGATTGGGGGAGAATGTGAACCCTCACAGGAGTCTTTCACCTGACATTAGGACATGTCATCACAAGTTCAATGGATATAGTAAAGTGGATTGGTTTGAGTTTGTGTCATAGTCTCTCCTGGGTGAGAGGTTTCCGTCTCTCCGTAAGTGAGTGAGCTTGTGCCTGTGTGCTTAGTGTTCCGGCACCTCTCTCTCCGGCGTTTGCCGGAGAGGAGGCTGTCCTGCTTGGGGGTTTTGTTTTGGGGGTTTAGGTTTTCTGTTTCTTCTAGTTTGTTTTTGTCTTCTGTGATTTGGGGGGTGGGCATTAAGGAAAGGTTAGTCCGGCTAGTGAAGGAGAGAAAGGAGGAAACGATGTGGATGGTAGGTTATTTAACAACACTAATACGGTGGTTAGATGACCGCAAAATTGAAGACATTCCTCTTGCTATTTCTTCTCTCTTAGTTGCCATTGATCAGGTATGGCTTTTTGAATCTTCTTCGATCTGGTATCACAGGCTTTGGTTTCTGGTAGATCCTCTCAGTTACAGTTGCTTTGTATCGGGTTGGTGTTGGTCGGAATCTTTGGGGGCTACTGCGATGCTAATGCTGTTGTTGTTGTTTCTCTCCATGCGGCGGTGGTTGTGTGGGGCCTGTGATTCTGCTCTTTCATTAGTAGAAAGGAGATCAAAAGGGATGGGACCGATGGGGTGGTTCTTTGAATGCCCATCCCTTATTTCCGGCGAAGTTTTACACAGTGTTCCTTTGCGTTTTCTGGCGGCAACAACAGAGGCGGCGGCTCAGTGGCTCTCTAAGTGTGGCTTAGGGTTAGGGTTTGTGTTGGTGGTGTTTTCTTGGGCTTAGGGTTTTTTGTTGTTTGGGCCTCTGTCCCTTTGTGTTGTGGTTTCTTTGTGAGACTTTTTGTTGGTGTTCCTTTAATATATATTTCTTCCGGTCAAAAAAAAAAAGTGGATTGGTTTGAAATTGGGCTTTTTTGTTTTGTAACGTCTAATAACGGCAAGTTGAAAACATCAATTGTTTGCTGGTAGCTTTCGGCATCCCGTGCATGGCGTCTGGTTCTCTTTTAAAATGGAGATGTGAATGACCACCAAGAGTTGGTTTGACTGGTAAGAAGTCAGTTCATAACTCATAAAGTTGTGAGTTCGAATCTCACTGCCAATATATCTTGTTGGTGGATGATTTGTAAGCACTTTTGTAAACGCTATCTAAGTATGAATGCATGTTTTGGCTTTGGTGAACCCTGTGACTCAACTCACCTAAACTTTTTTTGTAGCAAAAAAGAAAAGGAGATGTGAATGGAAGTGGCTTGGAAGGCTGGCCCTCTTTATGGATCTCTGCA